ACAGAGATGGACCGAGTTCTTCCAGGAACAGGAAATGGGGGTGCAGGTTACATCGAGGCAGTACGTCGAGATTTTTCACCACCCTGACGTTCCTGTTTTGCCGAACGGGCCGGTGTTTGAGATAAGCGCCTTGCCCAATCTGGGCGCTCTCGAACAGCAGTACCATACTGCAAAATTCGGGAAGGCCAGTGGCCCAGACGGGCTGACGGGCGAATTGTTGCGAGTGTCAGTGCCGGCCACAGCGCGCGCACTTTACCCAGTGGTTCTCAAAGCCGCTTTGGGTGTGCGAGAGCCGAGTGAAGGGCGCGGCGGAGCGCTTATGACGCTCGCCAAGCGGGCTCTGGCGGCATATGAGTGCAAAGCCTTCCGGTCGATCTTGCTGTCCAGCGTCGCATCCAAGGCACATCACCGCCTTTTGCGCAACCAGTTGGCCGGGGCTTTCCGGGATTATAAGCCTTCCCTACAGGCTGGACAACTCCCGGGTACGGGGGTGGACACGCTTACACTGCTTGCCCGTACATATCAGCTGCGAGCCCACCACCTCCGCCATCCCTCAGCCCTCACTTTTTACGATGTCCGTGCAGCGTTCTACAGAGTCATCCGTCAGACTCTGCTGCCTCCGGAGCAGGACATGTCAGATGAGGGTTTCCTACGGGTGCTACATAGTCTTCAGGTGCCAGAACATGCACTTGGCGAATTGACGGCACACCTTGGCAGCCTCGCCACACTCGCGGAAGCGGGGGTGGACAGCCACACACAGGCTCAAATCAGCGATTTATTTCGGGGTAGCTGGTTTAGGATGGATGCTGCTGGGCCCCTGGTCGCAACCCGCAAGGGTACGCGACCAGGGGACCCTTTGGCCGATATGCTGTTTGCCTTTAGCTTTGCAGCGTATTTGCGCAGCGCTCACCAGGCCTTGGCAGACAGCGGAGTTTCGACATGGGTCCCTCCCGCGACACTCAGTTTTGAGGGCCTGTGTGACGAGACGACTCCAGCAGTCGGATGTCTGGCATGGGCAGATGACTATACCCACATGCAGATGCGCCCAACTCCAGCTGAGTTGTACCCAGTTGTAGCTCAGGCCACGGGCATTCTGCTGACTCATGCCACGGCGAATGGCATGGAACTTACCTTCGGTGCGGATAAGTCGGCCCCACAGGGATGGTGCAACAAGCAGAGGCTGGTGGCTTCTACATTCGTGTTCAGAATGCCATCACCCTTGAGAGTCCCCATCTTCCAGTGGTTGCGAGCTACAGGCATCTGGGCAGTATTGCTGTGGCTAACGCCACGCCTGCAGCGGAGATACAATATCGGTATGCACAAGCGCAAAGCTCCCTACGGCCGCTGCACCACAAGTTGTTTGCGACAGGTGGCATCCTGGTCTGCATCAGGCGTACGCTACTCCGGTCTTTGGTGCTCTCCAAGTTTGTTTTCTCCAGTGCCAGCCTCGTTCTGCAGGCACGGCAACACCGCCGCCGTTGGTGTCAGTGCTACGTCCTGCTGTGGCGAGGGTTGCAACGCCGCTCCAAGCCGGAAACACAGAAGCACAGCTTCGAAGTTTTATTGGAGGCAGGCGCTCCTTCTCCACTGCTCGCGCTGGCTCATGCACGGGCGGTTTTCTATGCCCGGCTTTGCCGCGAGGGTCCTAGTGAGTTGCTCGTTCTCTTGTATGCACATTGGTCGGAGGCGGAGGCGCAGTCCTGGCTCGGGCAATTCCTTTGGGACCTCCGTGCAGTGCGACCTTACGGTGGGTGAAACAGGTCAAGAAGGCCAGTCAGGCCTACCACCAGGACCTATGCCGCTGGAAAGAGCAGGGCAGGCCCCAGGTACGGACGGAGCCTGCAGCGCCTGCAACTGAAGCCTTTGTCTGCCGGTACTGTCAGGCCGGCTTCAGGCTGCGCAAACACCTGGGAGCCCATTTGGCCAAAGCCCACCAAGTATACAGTGTAGTCCGACATTTTGTTCCCGTCCCCTACTGCCTGGCGTGTCTTAAGTACTACCATACGGTTTCACGGACACAATATCACCTCAAGACGGCACCCAAATGCTTGGCAAGGATAGTTCACCTAATCCCGCCACTCTCTTGGGAGGAAGTCCAGGAAGCAGAGAAGGGGGACCGAGAGCGCGTCAAGGCCCTCCGAAAAGGGCAGTGGCAGGCTGTGCTGCCTGCAGAACCCGCTGTGCGTTCGTTCGTATGGGCCCCGCGCCCCAACCTACACAGAAGCGCTTGGTGATACTACTGACGAGTCCATCACGTTGGACCGTCTGCACCGGCAGTACAGACCTTCTGTTCAGGTGTTGCGTTGGGTCCAAGATTTCATAGACGGCGCCTCAAAAGAAGGCTGCCGTAGCGAGGCCACGGATTTTTGGCTTAGCCGTCCAGCCGACTCCGTGTGATCTCAGTTTCACCCCCGGTTTTCATGTTCAGTGCATTTTTGGGACGCTCTCTTTGTGAGATCTACAGTCCGATCAGGAACAGGAACAGGAACAATCCAAGATCCGAGCACTCAACAGCCATGCATGTGCTCCATCCGTGCTTAAGCCCTGTTCGTGAGGTCATTGCTGCCCTCTTCCTGCTTGCCTCTGTTATACAATCGGTTCAAAGGAGGACTGAGCAAACGGTGTGGATAGCCCTTTTGTGGGTCCTGAATGAAAGCCTGGCTCAACTTACAGAGGCATGAAAGTATCGTGCACGCAGCGATCTGAGACTTTTCTCAGCTGAGTGTCCTGGTGTTTCAAGGCGAGCGAGCTCTGACACGTTCAGAATGCGGCTTGAAAGAGAGGGCCGATTCCGACATCTCTACCGTCGTCTTGACGATAGCTTTCGTTTGATGCATGATGGGATACACAAGCAAAAACAGAATGGGAATTGGAAAGAACCCTTCTAGCCCGGGAATAATGAACACAAAGATGAACAAAGTTTGATGCGCCACTTCGCGAGGGTTGTCGAAAAAAAAATCGCAAAGAGTTATCAAGAACAGCTCCCAGAAACAGCTCGCGTCGAAGAGTCCGAGCTCTTGCAGACCTTCCTGCTCTTGTCTACTTTGTAATGTCCTGACGGCAGCAAGAATGACCCTAGCAAGCTGCACGAAGCAAACACAAGCCCATCCATTGCTGTATACTCGCAGTGATGCAGAACATCTAGTTGGAGCGTGCCACTTCTTGGGTCCGGCCCTGGCGGGCCACGCCAAAATCATCCAATACATCACGAACGTGTCTATGAAAACGACCGCAACCTGCCACAGTCTGCCGGGATCGTATAAGGACACCTGCCACATTCTTGCCGCAAGCCAAGCCATGATCGCGGCTTCCGTGATATGCTCCCAGTTCAGCCACGGGTGCTCCACCTGCTCGGTGCACCTGTGGCTGAAAGCAGACCATGCAGAGTACGTTAGCGTCACATCGCAGAGCCCAGCGCATAGGACTGTGCTGCTCCAGGAGGGTGTGAAGCGTGTGTAAGGTATGCAGAACAGAAGCACAAAACTGTGCAGAAACCCAATGAAGAAGCACAGCCGAACTGCCAGCAGCGACCCTTGGCCAACCCGGCCACGCTCCTTTTCCTTTTCAGCAACCAACCCGCAGGAACGATCCATGCCCCTTTCAACAACCTCCACTGTCGACCCTGGGTCATGACGATCCAGCAGGGAGAAAGACCGGTAGTCATTGAAAGCAGCATTCAACCAGAGTTGTGGCCGTTGCATCTGGTCATCTGAAGTCACCGCGGCAAAGATGTAGTCCCAAACATTGCTCAAGGTCTGCGCCTTGCCAACACATTGAACAAATGCATGCATGAAGGTACTGAGGCCAGTGGAAGGATTACCATCTCGTGCCGGCTGTCCCGGAGAGCAAGCCCACATGCATGCCAAAGCAGTGTCACGACGTCGTCTGGTAGATCTTACCTGCCATCTGTTCATGAGCACGGCCGGACCGGAACAGTTGACGCGACAACAGTTCATGAGAAGGAGGAATGTTGCACCACGACTCCACCTAGCCTCGTTCATAACTCTGTTGGTCACAGACTCTACTGTAACCCGTCCGTCAACTTGCTCTTCTCCATCTGTGAAGATTAGGGTGGCCTGCCCATTCATCACTCTGCAATGTCCATTGAAGTTGAAGATTATGCAGCTGTGGCTGACCGTGATCTGCTCGATAAAGGTAGAGAAAGAACTTTCGAACTTGCTTCGAGTCGCATCTATGCATCGGATACATGGAAAATCGATTCTGTCCAGCGCATCATAGAAAGCATTTGCATCAGGGACCGCGTAGCTCAGAGGAGCTCTGGGATATGCGTTGTTGCCGACGCAGAATGCAAGTCGCCTTTGCATCAACGCCTGCTATGAAGCCGATATCAAAGACCACCGAACCATTCACAAGAAACCATGTCCGCAGGTGTGTCCAGACGTCTCTGTTACCAAACGGCAGATCTCCTGGCCCGGGTTTACTTTGCGATATTGACACGCGTCAACAACGTTTAAGGTTTGCAAGGATGACTCTGAACGTTGAAGGTGTGATGCTAAGCAGCGGGCATCGGATGGAGCATCAAGGAGAGGCGGTGATTGTACTCAGTCGAAGACTAGCTGAGGAGAGGAAGCAGTTAAGTTTTGGGTTGAATGCTTGTGTGGAGCCCGCCCTACACTCTGCATGAAACAGCTAGTTCATCTTTTTTCCCACCTTGGGTCTTGGTTGAAGAACAGAAGACTGTCGGGTCAGATTCCGATTTATGACTCTCGAGCTTCATCTCGTAGATAGGCAAACGAGATGTAGCGGTGGCGAAGCCTCTTTAGGACTAAAAGTTTAAAACGAATAGGGAACCCCGACAGCCCTGGGCACGAGGCGGCTTTATCTCACCCGTCGCTTCCGGTCAGTCTAGGGCGAATGCTTCAAGATTTATCCTCGCGCGAATCAGCTATCTTGAGGAATCAACACCTGGTTAGAAGACTTTCGAGGGCAGTGCAGAGCCTCCGGAGACCCTCGAGACAGTGGTGCGATGAGAATGGGTCCTCTCCGTCGACCCACTCCGCTGCTGGGAAGAAGCCTCGGGTGGCATCTTGAGGTGCATCCCTGCGCTCCCCTCAGCCATACCGCCCGAACACGACACTGCTGCCTGGCTTCCTGAATGGAGGAGGCTTCACACCCATGAACGCTATCTGCATGAGCCATTTCAGTCTTGCTAGCCATGCATGTTTCAGACTCCGAAACCGGCACGAAGATCCAACTCATTGTGTAGCACCACGCGAACCCTGCATTGGGATCGCGCCCTGGAGTTCAACTTAAGTCAACATCATAGGGTTCTGTATGTATGTATGTATGTATGACCCGTATATTCATGTGTAGCCTGATTTGCTATTTATGTATTCCTGATGTGTAGGACCCTTAAACAAAGCCTGATAACAACCCCTACAGAACCTGGGTGAAAAAAGAACCCCAGATAATGCCCAAAGCCGAAGCTGCGAATTAACTTGCCGACAAACATTCCCGAAACCGGGCGAAGGCCATGTCAAATCGAGGATCCTGGCGACACGGCAACCATGGCAAATTCCACCGGTTCAGGAGTGAGTGGTTCAGGTCTAGCGGTTTAGGAGTACGGGGTTTAGAGATTTTTCAGCTCTGGAGGCCAGGGGCTTTAGGGATTTTGGATTTTGAAGCCGAAAGACCGTTCCATCACAAGAAGACTGTCACTTGGTCTTTCGGATTAGGCACAAGAGGTTTCGGATGGTTTAGGGCTTAGTCTGTCGTGACAGATCTTACATACCCTTCATCCTGTGCTTACTCTTGGTCGTTCTCGCTATCTCTGAAGCTAGCAAGGCTTATCGGGCCACCCTAGACCATGGGACCATCAACGTTCTTTACACAATTACGACGAAGCCGTCTAATCGTTAGGAATGTTGGGCCGATGGCTCACATAGGGCCTCTTCTTTCCGTCCGATGGCACTTAGCCTGCGGTGCTTGGAGAGCATGTGTTCAGTTTTTATGCTCGCAGGTTCAGGGTCTGTAGCCTCGGCCCACTTGCGACGACACACCCAGAACGACCTGACCGAACCGAAGAGAGGCCACTTCCGGCTTTCGGGATATAGTGTGCGCCATGTGTCCCTGATCCTTCAATGTTAGAGTTTGTTAGAGGATTTCGCTGTGCTCTGGAGACAGTGCAGATCTCTTTCATGACAAAGGCAAAGCACAGCCGACAAACCTACAAGAGCGCTTCGTATTACCCTGGACCTCGACATCCCAAAAGCCCATCGGACGAACAGTGCACCTTGGTCTCGCCCAGCTGCTGAACCAAGCGCGACCTCGGAGTGCATAATACTCCAAAGAGTTCGTACTTCATAAAGGCTTTCCTTGATTGCGTAATTTGGTATGGGCGCGTTCGTGCTTGGAAGAGGGTTTGGTCAACATACTCAGTGTACTTTACGAAGCAAATCTCGAAGCGCACGCCACCCTGCAAGCTAATATGGTAGCCGAAAAAAAGGTCGAAATTCGACTTCGGGGGGTTTGTAATACAATCGTAGAAGGGCCCCTCCCTCAAGGAATCAGAAAAGTGTAGGGTACACTTTGGTAAGGGTGATCGGCTCATGGGGCCCGCAGGCTATAGGAGCTTTCGCGGATGCAGGTCTCCGGGTTCTCGGGGTCGAGGCCTCAGAGTGTTTAGGGCTCGGCGATAGGAGGTCTGCTAAGCTAGGGAGGGTTTAGGGTTTTAGGGTTTAGGGTTTAGGGATAAAGTGAAGGGTGTTGGATAAGAGCAAAAGGTGGCAAAGGTGCTACCAGTAGGGACATAAAAAGACAGGTCAATGCCATGCGAGCGAGGCAAACTCATGTAAGTAAGCTACGTCGCGAACCGACGAGTGGCATCTCAGGGTCTTGGAATCATTAACACCAAGCTGAAATGCTGCTGCACCCTCAGCTCTCTACCTTATCTGAAATATCCCCCTGAGTGCTACAGTACAGGTAGCTGAGACGCCTCTCTTTCTGCACTCCCCCGCTCCAGCAACCGAACCCAAGAATGGCTCCGAGGCCACGGCCAAAGTTCTACTCCGGCAAGCCGTGTTGAGACCACAGGCGCCTGCAGAGATTAGTACGTTTGGCACTCGGGTTAAGCAAAGCCTTCAAGTTAAGCAAGGGCTACGGCAAATTTCGAAACGCCGTTTTGATACACCAGTCTCATGAGTATCAGCATTAGTTAGTACCTTCATATGACATTGCCCTGCTCCTCGAAGCCCGGTACATGTGTTTTGCTCAGAGATGTTCTGGCATTTGCATTAGGGCTTGAGGCTTCGGGTGGGGCTAAGAGACTGGCTAAGAGTAAGCCAACATGTCGAAGTGATGAACAGATAATTCTCAGCAGCGGTATTTCTATTCAAAGCAACAACGCTCCCAACTGTAGTCACGAAATCACACGAACAAAGGTTCCCTGCACATCCCCGGCACCTACCGGAACCGTCTGAACCATCAGGCTAAACGCACCGCGGGGTTGCGGTTGAGACTTTATGTTGTAAAGTCGAAAGCTTCGACCTTAAATCTCGAGTTGTTGTCCGAATGCTTATGGACCTAAACCTCTCGTTACCGTAGGGCTGAAAGCCCATGTAGGCAGGTTGTCGTATACTGTAACCCTGCCCGAAGCCCGAGACCCTTAACCCTCTTTCATGAACTCTAGCCTGCAATCCCGATGGCTGGCGTTGCAGGCTCCGCTGCAGGCGGCCCCAAACCCTAAATCGTCAGCTGTTCAGAACCCCTGAGAGCCTTAAGTGCGACGGCCTTGAGGAGGAACTCAGCAGGTTCCAGAAGGTCGAGGCCGCATGGGGGCAGGTCTGAGAGCACGCTCGCTGCCTTTTTCGACAAAAAGCTACGATTTTGGTGGATGTTTCGGGTTTAGGGTTCAGAGTTATATGCAGTTCGTACATTGAACTGTTTTTTGGGGAGGGGGTCATTCATACCATCTTTTTAGGACAAGCATCCTGCTGCTTAGGCTGCTTCTCGAACAATTTTGTTACCGCAAAACTACACAAGGAGCCCAACACAAACTTTAGTTGCTTCAAGCGGGCGGGCCCCTAAATCAGAAGCTGTCTTTTGAGTTGAATCTTGGGCACAACGTTATTGAAGTGGGAGTGTTGGGGTGCTGCCGATCCTAAACCCAGGCTCTAAAACCGTCTAAACCCGAAGCCCCCTCTATTCGACTCCAAGCCCCGAAGCTCAACACGCACACTGAGCGACAGCCATCGCACCGGAACCTCTTAGTCTGCCACCCTGTAGTCTGACCCGACACCCCCTAAATCGCAAAGACCGCAGACCCTTGAACCCTCATGCATTCTTTGCCCTTTGCCCTTCCCTCAAGCCCTACATCCCAAACCCCACGCCGCAAACGGATGCTAGTTGAAGCGCTGATCACACGGCCGCATGTGGACCCTTCTGAACCCCAAACTCAGAACCTTTCTCTGCTCCCAAGCCTTCACCTGCCCTGTGACCTGTAAGCAACAGCCAAAATCGGCCTCTGAACAGCTAAAAGCCACATTTCATCTGAATATTCTTTTTAGTAATGGTAGAATCCACCCGGCCCCTGCATTACATTGTGCAACCTCCCACATCCTTGAGGCATCGGCGGCATCCAGATGTCCCCTTGACAAGGCAGCAAGGGCCGCGCGGAACAGACCTCGTAGTTTGGGTTTTTGGGTTAACAGACTGGGCTTCACTGCTAGGTTATGGTGTTTGAAGTACGCTGGGGTGCAAATATATAGGGACCTCTATTAGGGTTTGAGGTGTCAGGCCAGGCTTGAGGGCTTATCATCCTTGGCCCATCATGGAGGCCTCCAGCGCAGCATACTGCACGAACCTTGCGAGATGCTGAGCGACTCTGGCGGCAGCAATACCGCAAACACGCCGACACCCAATCTTGCCTGGAAGCACCATGTACCGGCAGAGACTTTCGGCCTTGAGGTGAGAACCCGAGATCCCATCTTGTCAGACCCAGGCTCTAAACCCGCAAATCCGAATCCCCGAAAGCGTAAACCTGGATCTAAATCCTTTACCTTCAAACCCCTACGTAAACCCAAGTAGCCTGCACCTTAGATCCTTAACCCCAAACAAGTCTCTTAAGCTCTCTTCATGCCGGTCGCACTGGCACAAAGGCCCAGGGAGGCTCGCTGCCTCCAAAGGGATCGCTAGAAGTCGGGCTTGCTGTGGGGGGTAGGTCTTAGGTTTGAGAGGGTTTGTGGCTGAGGGTCTGCAAGGTTTAAGCTCGTAGGATGTAAAGATCTCAGGATACGGCTTCAGGTCTTGACTCTTAAGGGTTTAGATGGTCGGGTTGAGAGTCCGAGGTTGAGGGCTTGGCTCCCTAGTTATATAGCCTTCAAGCTGCATGTATAAGGGGCTTTCTCCAAGTCTTTGTTTCGTTGTTCGTCAAAGAGCCAAGTATTCGTTAACCACCAGAAGAAAAGATCGTGAAGATGTGTGTCCTTTGTAAACCTTAAGGTATGCAGCTTGTTCTTTGGGCGCTCAAGGTGCCCTCAACCCCACATCGATGAAAACCCTGTAATCTCCCCGAACCCAAAAGAGACTCCGCACGACCCACGACCCTGCAAAAATCCAACACTCTACATAGTGACGTTGAGCCCTCAACAGGAAGAGACAACTCTCCAACTCCCGGGCCATGAGGTTTTTCAGCTTGGGGTTTCGGGCTTAGGGTTTTAGGGTCTAGGGCACTTGATTTCCACACCCTGTTTGAGAACGTAAGATTGAGGGATTCGGCCGGAGAAGCCATGGTCCTCAAGCCCCAGCCCTGAGAGCAAAAAAGCAATCCTTCATTCAACAATACATCCCCTTAAGGCTTGGGGGTTTGGGGGTTTAGGGTGTAGGATTCAGCTGGATTGTAGGGACATAGGGACCAGTGAACTACTGAAGGGGTTTAAAGTCAGCTGAGTATTGGGCTCTCTGATTCCAGCCACCTCCGGGATCTCGAAGATCTTCCCAGCGGACACCGCAGATTCCAAATGCTGTGACACGGGAGTATCAGCGATACCATCAGGGAACCTGCGTCAGTGGTAAAAGGTTCACAAATCGTTGGCCTTGGGTTTCAGGTTTAAGTCTACGATTACGCTCAAGGTTTCCAGCGCCGACAACGGCCTGGAAGAGCTGTGTCGGCTTCATGAAGGCTTTACATATCCCAAAGCCACGTTCGACCTAGAAAGGCCTTATTTGCTACACCAAGATGCTCAAAAATGAACCCCAGTAGCGCGCTGAGGCTCTAGGCTGCAAAGCTTATGGCCCAAACTGCCCTTTCCTGAGCCTGTCTTTTGCTGCCTTAATAACTTTGAGATAGGCTTTGGAGTATGTTGTAGTAAAACTAATATTCAGGAACCCTAATACTTTTTGCAATCATCCCACCAAGACCCGAAACAAACACACTGTAGCCGGGTTTAGCATACCCAGTTTCCGTCTTGACTTGCATCTGCATAATGTCGAAGCCTGAAGCATTAGACCACCGCAAAGTAAGTATATCCGTCCAGATGTCACTGTGAGAGGATGTTTTGAGACACGAATCCCCAACTCCAACCCGAGGCTACCCGACGCCTCTCTCTCAAACCCACAGCGCCTGAGCGCGCACAGGAGGAGTCTCTCGTCGTGGCCACGACCAAACCACGGAGAGAGCTGGGCGCCTGGGAGGGCTCTTTCTGGAAATCTTTCGCGTTAGAATATGGTTTCGGGGCAGATGATAGTACAGCCCAAAAGAAGGAGCCCTTCGATAGTATTTTCGGAAGACTTTGCCTGAGTAACATTCCTGCAGTTTCCGGCGGCACAGATTAGTGTAAGCGTCCACCAGCTGAGGATTCTGAAATGTCACGTTGAACCAAAGGGGTTCAAAACTAGGCTCAGAATTAGGTTCAGACGGGCTGTAGTGTTTCGGATGCGGTATGTCTTCTAGTGTATTCTCGGGACTTGCCGGAAGGTTGCAGCTATTTATTTGGGAGTTTCCGAAAATAAGGGACCCTAATATAGTACCCTAAATTGTAGGATCCTTATTCAAGGACACCAAAATATGGTACCCATATTTTTCGGAAACTCCCATCTGGCCAACTCCTACAGCCAGGGTCAAGGTACATCCTAAAGCCCAAAGCATATAAGCCCGCATTCCTGAAACCATAAACCAAACAGCCCGAAACCCAAAACTCGTAATGACACCCTGAAGCCTAAACATCAAAGCCCTGAGCCCTTAACCTTAATCTCAACGTCCTGAATCCTAACGTTTAAGCCCTGCAAAGGCCACTCTCAAAGCCGCGGCGGGGGGTTCGTTCCCTAAACCCCAAAACCTGTGGGCTTCCGTGCACCTTGGTCTTCAGCCCCTCCGGCTCTTGTTAGAAGCTCCGGGCTTTAACGATCGTAAAGGGGTCTGGGCTGGATTTCAAGACATTGTTTTAGGGGGTTAGAAGTGGTAGCACACCGTTGTATTTGCCGAAAGTTTGGAGTGTGAGGCTTCGGGGATTGGATTAGAGTGAGGCCGTGGGGTTTAGGGATTTCATATGTGCACGCACCAGATCCCACACAGATGAGGTGGAACCTTGAAACTCACACCCGAACATTCAAGAAACCCAAACATCGCAAGATCTCACAAGCTTATTGAGCCTTGCAAAAACCACGGATGCCCCGACCAGAAATTCCGACGAGCTGCAGACTCCGCTCAACTGGGGCCAAGGTGGAGGCAAAGCAAGAAGAAGCTCGACTCCAATCTGTTTGGGCAAAATCTTGAGAGCTTATTGCTTAGGATAGGGGCCTTGGTCTTCAGCATGCGGGTTTTGGGGCCCATTATGCCACAGTTGTAATCAGGAGCCCTCAAAATAGTATAGGTAAGTATTTAGGCCCCTGTAGTAGAGACTCTAGGCTTCAAGGCCAAGGAGAGTTGGGGGTTGCCTTCTAGAGAGTGCTGTGGGTCTTTCTGCGTAAATCCAAACCTAGCGTCGGTTCTATGGGTTCCTCGGATCTGTCAAGCAGAAGGTCGCACTCCACGCAAACTTCGCGCTTTGAACACACCACTTCAATGCCTATGGATGCTCGGAGCGAGACGAGGACGTTTCGAAGCCCTGTCAACGCCTTCATAAACCCTGATTAATACGGGACTTCGAATTTCAAGATTCGCGGACCGCAGGATCTGTAAGGCAAAGCCAACTTCGAGACACAGCCCGTTAACCCCCCCCCCCCCCCCCCCGAACTGAAGCCCTGGAGCTGAACACCAGATGCCATCGTTGGGCTCGGTAGTTTAGCGTTGCGGTGGGCTTTTCTAGGGTAGGTTTCAGAAGCCTAGGCGCTAAGTTGCAAGGGCTACTGGAGTTTACGGCTGACTGCAACAAGCATTGTGAGTTGGACGGCCAGCCTAATACTATGCTCTGCTGCAAGTCTTGCCCAAGTGCAGGCGGGCTGCGGACCAAGTGGCTTCTTGGCTGAGGAAGGACAGCGCCTTGGGTGCCTGAGTAGAGTATGGAAAGTTGCAGGCAGCATAAGCGCCCTGATCCTAATCAGTAGAACAGGGCTTTGGGTTGTGTTGTAGGATTAGTATGTTGGACCATACAGGAGCCAAAACTATTAGCGATTCCGAGCCCTTTTCCCATGTTCCTGATTAAGAGAGATGCAGCTTCAAGGCCTCTCATGTCCCGAATGCAAGAAGCATCCCAATATACATATATATATATGTATGTATATATTCCAACACCCCAAGGGCCGTGCAGCAAACCAACAATACTTACCTAGGCGAGCTTTTCCTTTTCCATTAGGGCCCCTGAAACATATTCAAGAGCAGGATCAGCTAATTGTGTGCAATCAAGGAGAAATAACCAACATCCCAGTAACCTGCCTACTTCGACTCTCAAGCGTTGCAGCGAACCTGGGCGAAAGATCGACATCAGGAGCCTTCAAGAAAGCTTCCTAACTGTATACATGTCGGGATGATGCCTCTTTCATGGGTTCTATTTTAGGGAGACACCCCTAGATTAAGGAGTATACCTCAAATTACAGTAATTTGTTGTAATGGGCTCGGAAAGGAGGAGCTGCAGCTGTACTGTGATGTTTTGATTTGGTGTGAGAGGCTGCCGGGCTGTGGGACTCGGCCCAATGGCGTTTTGCGGGGGCCGGAGACCACTACAGCCCTGCAGAATTCCGAACCTAGATGCAAGTGGCATGAATGTGAGAAAATATCCCGACAAAGCCGTGCAAGACCGTTCCTGTACACCAACCCCTAAAGTCTATACCCCCAAATCCTAACTTCTAATCCCTACACTCCTCCCTGAACCCAATAAGCATAACTTCGACGGGATGCAAGAGGTGCACCGGCAGCTGTCGCCAAGGCCGCCAAAAGCTCGCGCCGGGCAGCAGGGGATACGCGCAGTGCCTGAACTCTTCGGTTCCGGGCGAAGGCTACCCGAGGGTTCGAAGGCTTCAGGGCTCGGAGTTTAGGGCTTCAGGTTGAGAGGTTTAGGCAGCAGCCGTTGTTAAAGGGCCACCTGCGATACTTCAAGGAATGCTTCTGAATCCATGATCTGGGACTCCATGAGTTTGCAAGGACCCGGGGAATTGGAATCGGGCGTTGGGCCTTGACAAGACTAGTTGCAGTATATCAATATTACCAGTCTCCCACGTGGTTTTGTCTTTTGGTAGGGAATCGATCAGCGGGGGGAACCTGGACCTAGGCCCCTGTCTCAACACCCCCCTTTACCTTCCAGGGGTCTACATTAGCACATGTTCACTCTCCAGCTCTGAAGCTCGAAAACCTGAACGCGAAGGCAAACCCAACAAGCTGAATCCCAGATCAACAAACCCAACCCTAGATCTGGCTCTGGCATGAGGGCCCCAACAATTAGAATCGATCTATGTGTTGTCGTAGAACTAGGTTCAGGAAACCTGAAATCGTAGTATTTGTACTTATTCAAGCCCGCCATAGCTGCGACACTTAAATGCGAGGTTCCGTTTATCGTGTAATGTTATAACCTTCCAAGAAAGATCAGATCCTTAGCGTCTACAGCAGTGGTTCATGCACAACCAGGGTTGAGGTAACGAAGTGCACTGGGAAGTTGAGACATGATAGGTCTCGGAAATTGAGCATCACCTCTGAAATCTGGGGGCTGTAGGAGATTGGGGGAGCGGGGTTTTCACGGTTCTTGGGTCTTGCGGGTAGGGATTCACGAAGGGATTTGGAACTTGAGGTTTTATACTTGATTCATGTGCTGTCAGGGGGTTGTCTTGAACATGCGCTCGACTTTGCCACTTCCGTGACCAACACTATGGTCAAACCCCTAAAGCCGGTGTAACAACCAACGACCAAGGCACTAAGAGCGAATGCCTGCAATTCTGAGACTTGCTAGGGTTCAAGATTCAATCGCAGCTTCCTGTGCACAGGTCACCGGCCTCCTGCAGAAGCCATTCGTAGTTCAAAGCCTTCCATGGCTGGACATCGGGATCAAAGCACTCTTTCTGAACCCTAAACCTGGAAGCCCTGAACTTCTCATGCGGGAGCTGTTGCATGAGCCTGGCTACCTCTCGGTTTGGTGGCTTTCTCAGCCGATACGAGAAGGACCCAAAGCCTAGACTTTAAAGCAACAGCCCTGGAAATCCTCCAGTGCGCCAATGCTGCACCTAAAGCCGCGGGGCATCCTCTTGTCCATGGACGGCATGAACTTACTATGCTGTTCGGAGATCCCAGGAAGAGGTGCATACTGTCTGGTTAGCTACACAACTGTATGGGTCCAGCCAAAGTGTGGACAGGCGTACCGCTGAACAACCCAAGCTTAGTTTGTCTTTCTCAAGCGACAGTTGCGAGGCGGGACAAGTCTCTTGGATGCCCATGTCGCAGCTAGGTTCTTATCAGCTAGCCGAGACAAGCAGATAGCTTCCAGCGTCACACCGGTGACTGCACAGTTCGGGTGCTTCTTAGTAGAGGCACTGAACCCTAAAGCATACATCGCAAACCCTAAGCCGTCCCCGAACACTTGTGATACAGGGTCGCTTTGAAGGGTTGGGTAGCAAAAAACTGTTGATTCCTCACAGCCTTAGGCTTCCCCGGCCTGCTTATCCTGCGCATGGGCAACGAGACGATGGATGGTCGAAGCAGCGAAAAATTGCACCTGGCAGGTGGGACTGAGCTGTGGGCTGAGGAGGTTTCGTACCAACCTTCAGGGATTAAGCTTCAGGGTTGAGGCTATCTCTTCAGGGTTGAGGGTTCCGGGTATACCTGCAACGGCATAGGGTTGAGGGCAAGCCTTTTAGCGTTAAGGGCATGGAGCCCAAATACTCCAGTTTCAGCTTTGCATCTTGTGACCTAGTATCCGCGTGTATCTGTCACGTTGTAAGGTGCTTGTGTTTCCCAGGCGAATCGAGAGTTTCGGGCATACACCTGTAACCGGAAACTCTGAAACCCAGCACCCGAAGCCTGAAATCCTAAGCCCTGAAATCCCCAACGCTCATACCCCGAACCTAAAGTCCTGAACCTGTAACCTCATGGCAATCTTTACAAAGTGAGCACCACAGTACGCCTCATAACAACTCTTTACAGAAACCCTTACAACACCCTAAACTCTAAACCGTCACATTCCCCACCCAACTTTGCCGTAGCCTCGGGTGCGGAGGAGCGCAACAACTCCGAGGCTACAGCCATGGCATTGGGTGAGCATTGGAAGGCCTCCGGGCTTTGGGGGCTTTGTGGGGTTGAGGGCTTTGGCTTTTAGCGATTTGGGTTTAGGGCTTTGGGTGTGGGGTTTCGGGATTGGGTTTAGGCTTAGGGCTTCGGGCTCGTTTCAGGCTTCAGCAAGAGTTGCTGCGAGGGTTCCTTGCAGGTTTAGGGTTAGGGGCCTTTGAAGGTTGTAAAAGGGTTTGTTGGAGGGTTGCAGTAAAGGGTTCATAAGGATTCTGATTCCGTGATTAGGTAGTTTTGTTTGCAATCTATAGGGCTTGATCAAGGTTTGGGGTGGGCTTCATGGGTTTCATTGCGCCTACAAAACACGCCCCGAAAGCCTCCACAGCCCAAACCCCGGACAGGCCGCCGCCACCCGCAACTGCACTCCAAAAAATCTTGCCCTGAAATTTAAACCAACTGGGTGTTCCGGGTTCCGCGTCCCGATGTTCTGGGTTTGGGGGGGTTCCGGGTGACTAAGGACGAGAAAAGCGATCTTATGCAACCTCATGAGCTCTGTAATCCAACACAATACCCCACTAGCATCCCTGATCGGAACTTGACAAGAGGTCAAGACGAATCCTGCAAGGAGCGCTGATAACAATCGTTGCAGGCACGTTTGAAGGAACCTTTCGCAGCACCCTGACAGGAAAACCTTCAAAGAAGCCTCATAACCCGGGCTTCCACAAACTTGCCTCCAGCCTGTACAAACAGGAAAGCTTCATAGATGCTGTCAGGCAGGAGGCAGACGCGGGGTTTGAAATATATAGTCTTCGTCTATATTTGTTAAAACATAAAAAGCTCCAATTGATATAGGATCTTGTTTCGTGTAGTTTCGGTTGAGCACCAAACGTCAACGTCCTGAAACAGTTGAAAAAGTGACACTGTGGAGCTCCGCCATGTTAGCAAGATACATGGCAATTGCATCGACGGCTGGTGGGTTGTCCTCTATCATGAGTAATGACAAGCCAGTGAAGTCCCTGGCCACAGCAGGCCCCCAAATCTCCACGTCAACCTTCCGGAGCACCCTGTCGGCATCGCCTTCGAACTCTGTAAACCGGAGCGTCACAGTCCCGCTTTTGGATGTGTAGGCTGGTGGTCGCCCGACGAGGACTTCCAAACCGCAAACACCTGCTGAATAAATGTCATTCGCTGGTACGAAGTACCCAGCCTGCCGCACCCGTGGGTCTATGTACCCGGCTGTTCCTTGAAGCATTGGGGCCACCATGTCCGAAGCCATGACGGCATGCCCAAAGTCCGTCAATTTAGCGGTTACCTCGTCACGCCCAAAACAAAGAATATTTTGGGTTTTGATGTCCCGGTGCAGGATATAGCAGCGATGGAGATGCCCGAGGCCTCGCAAGGCATCTCGGAGGGCACAAATGCGCTGGCCACAGCCAAAAGCCCGCTTCAGCCTACAACGGCTGTACAGGTCACCTGCAGCCTGTTCGAAAAGCAAGTAGCCCGTCCTTGATTGAAGCTGTCGCAATCACGTGCTGGTATGCTATAGCACTCCTATAGTATGTTCTCAAACCGTGGGGGGTTTCGAGCAAAGATCGAAAGCGTAAAGAATTGAGACAAGAAGCAGCGGCGACTCCACGGCTCCCAACAGGGACACGATGTTCCCATGCGGCGTTCTGGAAACTTCAGAAAGAATAGAAAGCTCATGACGCATCTCCTCGACCCCGCACGCTTTGATGGCGATTTGCTTCCCATACCAAGCCACGGAATACACGGTGGCTTGACCTTGGCTGCTCTTGGTCATGCGCCACATGCGAGACTTCCTTCGACTCCTAGACTTGGGGCTCGCTACATCTACGGCAGCGCTCCCAGCCACGTTGTGCCGAGTCACCACCTCGCCCCAAAATGGTTGCGTCTTGGCATAGTTCGAAAACTTGCATGGAATTTGGCAACGGCTCCTGGAAGGGTGACGGTCTAGCGAGCCAGGGCCTTTCTAACTGTCGCTGCTGATCGCCAACCTGTCAATCTTACCCTCTGGGGCAGTACACTCGCTCATGCAACATGTGACCATGATATGCCAGACTAGCCACTACGTGTCCGTATCTTCTCCATTGGTCTGCACAAACGTAGCCCTGAAAAGCCTGTTGACCAGTCCTTCATAGACGGAGGCGCCGCAAACTCAAACAAGAAACTGGCGGCTTCCTGCTGCACCAGGCAAGGGCCACTTTGCAAAACCGAAACCAGAAAAAGAACTGAAGCAAACCCGATTTAGCGCAAAACCAAAACCATGAGTCTCAAACCTGACGTTCTCAAATCCTGCCTTCTGCCGCCTTGTCCGCTTTTCTTCCTCCCAAACTCGGCATGCCGCGCTGGCATGATATGTCACCGAGCCCACCAGGCCAGCTTGGAGGCAGGTTGCAATTTTGGAGACCAGGGATGGTCCCACAACGGTTCCAAGGAGAATTTCCATGCCGCGTTGCCAAAACTTCGGAATCTAAGTTCAAGCATGCACGACATTGGCCAAAAAGTGTGTGTTGTACTGTCGTGTCTCTCCATCTGATGAACTCTTGCCAAACTTATTGTGCAACACACTCTCTCTCATTTATGAGCCAACAGGTTGCAACAAATAAGCTTGCTGCAGGTGGCGGATGTAATTGCATGGCAAACCAAACCGAACCCGGAGTCCCAGCGAGCAAACGAATTTGGAAAAGAACTCCTTCAGTGTTGTCCCTGCAATAGCAGACTTTACCGGCGTGGGAATTCGAATCTATTTACTGCAAGACTGATCCCTTTGAAGCGTAGGGGGTCACGGGCTTAAGTTAAGGTTTTCCTCCCCAGAAAAATTAGGTCAGCGTTCAGGTTCAAGTCCGGCAGTTATGCTTTGATGCATAGGATTTAGGGATAGAGGGCTATTGGCTTGGGGTCGCGCAATCGTCACCAGCGACGGACTGCACTTTGCCGCCCCAGAGGTCCAAACCCCCCAAACCCTCAAACTCCAAACCTCAATCCCTCGTGACAGAAGGAAGGCAACCTGCGCCAAGCTCGCAGTGTGTAAAAACTCCGAAAGTGCCCGATGAGAACCCGTAAACCCAAAACCCTTACAGGAAACCCTCAGTGAGTCCTTATAAGCATCGTTAAAGGAATCTCGAAGAATAAGGAACCCTCAGTGGAAACCAAAAAGTTCACTGATATGCAATCGACCTCCAAAGCTTGACTGGCACTGGCATCGCCGGCGTAGAGCCGGCGTAGGGCCTGTCCCATACCCTCAAGGTTTAGGACCGAGGGCTCAGGGTTTAGGGTTAGGATTTGTTACTTTTGGGGTTCAGAATCTAGGGCTTGAAACTCGAGTTTATGTTGAGAGCTTCGGCGGTTTAAACCCTACGGCTTTGGAACTGCCACACCCTGGCCCCACTTCTAAGGCTCCTTGCAGAATCGTCCTGAACCTCTTGGTACCTGAAACGTATACCTGGCACCCTTGTCCTTTTAGAAATAATAGACAGAGCCCTATACCTATATCCCTTAGTAGGAATTATTTAAGAAGGTCTACTAGCCGGTCTCTTTATTCTTTTGGGGGAACCACGAAAAAGGACAAGGCTGAATACCTGGGCCCTGAAGCCCTCCTCCGATGCATTACCCAGGATCCCCAGTTGCCTAGAAATCAAAAGCCCACCTCTTTTTAGGTATCGGGCAGTTTTGTGAACAGGAACCTATCACCACAAAAAAGGGAAAGCGGGAGACCCAGGGTTACCGAGTAGCACCGTGGCTGTGCAAGAGTAATCGAACAATTCCCAGCAAGATCTACACTGGAGAGTCTAGGAAGCTTATAGAAAAAGACAGACTGTATCTCCGCCGAATCTCCACTCTTGCCTCTAAGCTTTATTTACTTAGAATAAAGTTTCGGGGGGTAATTCTTTATTGTGATTCTATGAATAATTCGAGCCTCTCCCAAGACCTCGCACTAACGTCATGGGCTCGGCCGATCCCTCGATCCCCAGCTTCGCAGAAATTCCTGAAGTCTACAGGCGAAGGCCCCAGCCTAAACCCTATAATGGGCTATATAATGGGTATATAATAGCTATATTAATGGTATATAATAGCTATATTAATGGTATATAATAGCTATATCAATGGGTATATAATAGCTATATTAGCGGTATATACTAAACCCTAAAGTGGACCTGAACTCTTCATAAGGCCTGCTTGCATGTGCGCGTGGGGCATTGCGCTTCAGACTTGATACCTCCTTTGGTGTGCAAACTATACTGTGATGATCACCACCACCATCGTCATCATTATAACCATTGGCATCAAGGAGTCGAATCACCTGAACCACCTGTGCTGCCGTCTTGTCAAGGGATGATCGTACAGTTTGAAGGTTGTTCTTCATGGAAATGCAGCCCATGCAAGTCAACATCAACCAGCTGCACCTCTGCAGGGGTCTTTCTAGTTTGCGGCCTTTAGTATGATAAGCATACTGTCTGAGGCTGCTTCATCGTGGATGCACTTACAGAAATACAACAGTAAATAATGGTCATCATGGTATCTAATTCTTATAAGATATTTCATTGTACTATGAGTAAGACAAATGCTAAGACATATCCTGGTTACAACTAGTACTTTTTGACACTCCCAAAAGCCTCAAGGATTTCAGCTTCCATGAGCCGACCATGGCACGGAATGGACACAGGAAGCTTTTATGTTCGGCCTTTCTTTCGTGGGGCTTCGGGTTTCGGGCTGCGGCTCAGGGGTTCAGGGTTTAGGGCTTCTGCTTTAGGGTGACGGCTCAGCTTACCGTTTGTGGTGACTATGTCCGTACTGGTGCCAATGTTGTTGAGGGCTAGGGCTGAGAGTCTGTCTTAAAGAGTTGAAGCTTTGAGGGTTGGTTGGTCCTGAATAACGTGTTGAAGTGCAAAAGCAAAGTCTGACTGTGCAGGCACGAATAAGCCACTAAGACAACCTACTGACACCCGCCCCGCAAAGGCCCCAACTTTTGAGAAAAGCCTAGGTTTGACGGCAAACGCTCCGGCATTTTATCAGTGCGCACGAGGCCCCCTCCAAACACCCGAGGAGAAGGAAGGTCTGCTTGCTGCAACTCTCATGTATACACGTCGTGTATACTAAGGCTAAGGACCCTTACGGGTTTCGGGTTGAGGGTTTCCTAGACCTCACCACGGTGTAGGCACAAGGCCTGACTAACGATTCGGGTCATGTACTCTGCTAAAATGAGGAGTGACCCTAAACCCTTAACCCCAGAACACGAAAAGCATGATCCTGACTACAAAACGTCCTCCCTCACCGTCCAAAGCAACGCCCAACATCTTGGAAGTCAGCCAGCAAGCAAAAACTGCGAAGGTCGAGGGCTGTGAGGTTTAGGAATTGAGATTTAGGGGCCTCTCCCTTTCTCGTTCTCCTGATATGATATTTGCGGAGCTCTCTGGCTCTAGCGCATTGCAGTATCGCCCTCACTGGGCTTGAAATGCCCACATGCACACTGACTCTGCCCCTGAAACTGTAGCCCAAAGCCCTCGATCCTGAAGCCCTTGTCTGTGGCAACATTCTTTAAAAAAGGTTCGAGAAACCCTGACTCAAACACCCGGGATGATCTTGAAATCATACCCCACAATTTGGAACCCTTTCCTACAATAGGATACGTAAGACGAAAACAGATCGGGACGCCACTTGGATCCTACCATCCTGCCAAGATCCTGCAAAAAAACAGCTGAACCCTATGAAACCTCTATAAAACCCTACACCCTGAACCCTACCCCCGAAACCCTTGTGCCATCTTATCAAGCACCACGAAACGTCGGCCTACTTGGCTCCGCGGTCTCTGGCCAGCAGCTGGCTTCCTCAATTTACTTCTGTCGAAGTGGAATGCAGAGGATTACACCATCTGAGTTTGTATTGAACTTGGTACCCTTGCAAAAGCATGATTTTCGCTGTTTCTTCGGGAGTGTAGCAGCCAGACACTTTAAATTGTTTCCAAGTGCCCGGAGGGAACGTCCCAAACCCAGCACAGTCGTTGAGATCTACACGAGCCATAGCCTCGCCCTCCTCCCCCCGGTCCTAAACCGCCCAAAACCGAGGCCCTGAGAACCCTAAACCCTAAACCCGAAACTCTAAACACCGAAACATCAACCGTAAGCCTGAGCACTGAAGCCTTACATTGATAGTGCCCTGCTTGTGGCGAGCCTCAACGTCCTAACCACCCCAGGGTCGAGCGAAGAAATATATCTATATATATATGAGGCAGGAACCTTTATGTATAATGTGTCGCTCGCTCTTTGTGTAAATACTAAACACCGTCTACACACTGCAACAGTATGATTAGTGTTCCTCATCGACGGCTGCCTGATGGGACAGCACCACTGAAGGTGGATGAGCATGGCATGTGCGCAAGTTCGGAGGCACCGCAAGCATCGAGTTCGAGCCAGCATGTGATGGCTGAGGAGACTGAGGCGCCTCTGTTGACTGTTCCCACGCCACTGACTGCTCATGGTCTCCAAACGACCGGAACAGCTGCCTGATGGGACACCACCACGGAGGGTCGATGAGCATGGCACGTGCAACAACTTCGGAGGCACCGCAAGCACCGAGTTCGAGCCAGCATGTGATGACTAAGGAGACTGAGGCGCCTGTGTTGACGGTTCCGACAAAGGTAACTGCTCATGGTCTCCACACGACCGGAAGATCGGGTCTCACTCAGGAGGCTTAGCCCTCGCGCCCACCCAACCCCCCTTTTATGCCGTTCAGGCTTGCTTTCAATAACATCGCACCATGAACAAGACGTGCATCAAATACAGTTTTTTTCAGAGCTTTTCAACTTTCATCATAAAGGCATTCAGTTTCCAGTTGGGGAGGTGCGTCCCCCTTTAGCTTTTTGCCGACTTCCCTTACCTACTTTGCTCTATCGACCAGAGGCCACAAACCTTGGAGACCTGATACAGTTGGGGGTACGACCAGGGGTGTGAATAAGTCTGTCCTTCGGCTTTTCACAGGCAGTCGAGAACGCACCGGACACCTCGGAAGACAAGGTGCTTTACCCGCTATTTAACCCTTTCAACCGGAAATGAGAAGCCCTCTACCTCATCCTCTGGAGCAAGAACAGGGCTCACTCCAAGTTATTCTTAGGTAGGAGAAGAGAGCTTCTTTTTTTGGAAGGGAGCTCCTGCACATCTTGGCAAGACTTCATCCTAATCATAAGAAGACTCGACTGAAGAGAGCACGCTCGTCGTCAATATGGACAGAGCTCCCTCAGTCTTCAATCAAAAGCAACGTCTGAGTTCCCTACCTCATCCTCGACAGGAAGAGAGCTCCCTCCAATGTATTGAGAAAGAAGAGCGCCCCATCTCACAATGGCAGACAAGCCCCTCCAGCTTCACGAGAAAGAAGAGAGCTCCGTTTACCCCCCAGGCGACAACTAGAGACCTCCTTTCTCCCTTGGCAGGGGAAATGATCCTCGTCTGAAAATGGAAGAGAGCTTATGCTCAAGAAGAAATGGTGGAGCCCCCCCAAATCTTCAAACAAAGGAGTCTGATCCTTTCTTCAAGTTTCACAAAAAGAGCTCTTCAACCCCATGCTCTAAAACAAAAGATAGCTCTTGCTTGTTGGTGGCAGGAAAAGGGAGCTAGCTAGCTTCCTTGCTTGAACAGAGCTTCGAGGGCTTCCCATGTCCCTTTGAAAGTGGGCGGGGAAGACCAGACTTTACTTTTCAACTTCTCGACAGGAAGAGAGCTTCCTCCAATGTATTGAGAAAGAAGAGCGCCCCATCTCAAAATGGCAGACAAGCCCCTTCAGCTTCACGAGAAAGAAGAGAGCTCAGTTTACCCCCCAGGCGGCAACTAGAGACCTCCTTTCTCTCTTGGCAGGGGAAATGATCCTCTTCAGAAAATGGAAGAGAGCTTATGCTCAAGAAGAAATGGTGGAACCCCCCCAAATCTTCAAACAAAGAAGTCTGATCCTTTCTTCAAGTTTCACAAAGAGAACTCCTCAACCCCATGCTGTAAAACAAAAGATAGCTCTTGCTTGTTGGTGGTAGGAAAAGGGAGCTAGCTAGCTTCCTTGCTTGAAGAGAGCTCCAATACTTCTAGGTAAATCACTGCTTAATCTTGGCAAGAGTGAAAAAGCAACGCACATGCCTTCCACCTCATCATCGAAAACAAGAGGAGAGCCCCCTGCAATTTAACGCGAATACCAGAGCTCCTCTTCGGTTTGATCGGCGAGAAGAGAGCTCCTTTACCTCTCGTTAGAAGAAGAGATCCCCTGGCAAGAGATGGCAGCGCCTCCTTAGCTTCCAAACAGAGTGGCCCTCTTACATCATCCTCGACAAGAAGAGACTGGGAGCTTCTTCGAATCCAATTTCAAGAGATCTCCGTTTCAATATTGGACTGACAGGGCCCTCCAAGATATCGAGAAATAAGAGAGCTCTGTCTACCACCCAGTCGGCAAGAAGAGATCTCCTTTCTTCCAGGCAAGGGAGGTAAGAAAGCTTGTGTTTTATCTCCTCTTCCTCTTCAAAAAAAGGAAGAGAGCTTGAGCTCAAGAAGAAACGGTGAAGCCCCTCCCCCCAAAACCTTCAATCAAACAAGCTTGGTTCTCCCCTCAAGCTTCAAAGCGAGAGCTCCTCCAACCCATGCTCTAAAACCAGAAGATAGCTCTCCCAAGTTGTTCGTGGTAAGAGAAGAGAGCTTCTTTCTAGAAAGAAAGCGCCATTGCCTTTTGGAACGTTGCTTCTCATTCTTGAAAGAAAAGCACAAAGATCTCACTCGTAGCCAAAGAGGACAGAGCCCCCCCCACAATGTATGAGCTCTCTCCCTAATCATCGAAAACAGGAAGACAGTTCCCTCCAATTTCACGAGAAGGAAGAAGGCTCCTTTAACACTTGGTAGATAATAGATCCCCTGACAGGTCCTCTACCCCAACAACTCAGAAGAGAGGTCCCTCTAACTTCTCGAGAAAGAAGAGAGCTTGATTTATCTTTCTGTGGACCAGAAGAAGACTCCTCTCTCTCTTAGTCGGGCGCGAGAACTCTTGACCATCTCCCTTCGTCCTCAAAGATGGAAGGGAGCTTCCGATCAAGAAGAAAGGATGGAGCTCCTCCATACTTGAAAAAGGAAGTCTGGTCCTCCCGCCCCCTTTTCAAAGCGGAATGAGAAGCCCTCTACCTCATCCTCTGAAGCAAGAACAGAGCTCACTCCAAGTCATTTTTTGTAGGAAAAGTTTCCTAGAAGGGAGCTCCTTTTCCTGTTGGCAAGACCTTGTCCTAACTTTAAGAAGACTGAAGAGAGCACGCTCCTGGCAAACAAGCAAAAAGCAACGTGTGAGTTCCCTACCTCATCCTCGACAAAAAGGCAGCTCCCTCCAATATATTCAGAAAGAAGAGCGCCCCATCTCACAATGGCAGACAAGCCCCTCGAACTTCACGAGAAAGAAGAGAGGTCCGTTTACCCTCCAGTTGGCAAGAAAAGACCCCTTTCCTCTCTTGGCACGGCAAACAAGAGAACTCCTGGCTGCCTCGTTTTCCTCTCCGGAAAATGAAAGAAGTCTGATCCTCCCTTCAAGTTTCCCTTGATCTAAAACAGAAGATAGCTCTCCGAAGTTGTTCGCGGTAAGAGAAGCGAGTTAGCTAGCTTCCTTGCTTGAAGAGAGCTCCGATACC